TGTTCATTTAATTCTAATAAATTAAGTTCATTTTTTATACAATATGCCCAAGTTTTTCTAGGTCTACCTCTTTTTCTAGGACAATATGCCCAAGTTTTTCTAGGTCTACATATGACTTTCTTAACATTAATCGAATCTAAAGCATCTACTTTGCTAATCAGATGATCAGATTGTCGACGTTTAATGTGACCAAAGCATCTAAGACGACTCTCTCTAATTTTGTCCACCACAAGAGCTACACCAACCTTATCACGGATATATTCATTTCACATTTTGTCTTTAAGTGTAAAGCCACTCATCCACCTAAGCATTCTCATCTCGACAACACTTAATTTTATGCTTCTCTTTTAAACGCCAACATTCTGCGCTATAGAGCATTGCATGTCTCACCACCATTTTATAAAATTTTCCTCTCAGTCTAAGCGGCATTTTTGTATCACACAATATGCTCGAAACATTCCTCCACTTCAACCAACCAACCTAAATTCTACTAATAACATCCCCATTTGTATCACCATTACTTTGAACAATAGACTCGAGATATCTAAAGCGTTTACACCTTTTAATAATTTAATCACTCATAGTTACAACTCTGTCAGTAGAGCTACTTCTACTAAAATTACATTCAATGTATTCAATTTTAGTTATACTCACGCGAAGTCCTTTAGATTCCAACATAGACCTCCATAATTTAAGTTTTTCCTAAGCTCTTTCTCTAGTTTTATCCACAAGAATGATATCATCAACGAAAAACATACACCAAGATACATCTTGTTGTACATGTCCAGTAAGAGCATCCATAACTAAAGCAAAAAGATATGAGCTTAAAGCCGATCCCTGATATAATCCGACTAAAATAGAAAAATAATTGGTCAATCCTCCTTTTGTTCAAACACAAGAAACACGTCTATTATGCATATCTTTAATGACTTGAATATAAGTTATATCAACACTTTTTTTTTTCTAGAATTCTCCAAAGTACATCTCTTGGAACCTTATTGTAAGCTTTTTCTAAATAAATAAAAAATCATATGTAGATCATTTTTATTCTCTCTGTATTTCTGCATCAAACCTCTCAATAAATATGTAGATCCTCCTTATCCTCTATGTACTTCTTCATTATGCCTCTCAATAAATATATAGCTTCCATAGTAGACCTACCTGACAAAAATCCAAACTTATTATGAGAAATTTTTATAATACGTCTTAACCTGTGTTCAGTTACCCTCTTCTATAATTTTAAAGTATGACACAACAACTATATCTCTATAATTTTCACAATCTTGTTCATCGCCTTTATATTTAAAAATAAGGACCAAAATACTCTTCTTCTACTCCTCAAGCATCTTTTTAATTTTTTAAAATAATATTAAAAAGTTTAGCAAGCCAAATAAAACTCCAAAATCTCCTAAATGTTTCTTTACTCTTCCTTCTGATTTTGAAAAAAGGAGAGGCTGGAATTGCGTTGGCATCGAAGCGAAGGGATTTGTACATTAACAGGTAGCGAAGAGGATGGGCGGTGGACTGCAGGACAACAAGCGGAGTGCTGTCCGGTGCTAGGGCACAGCAAGCGAGGACAACAGGATAGGATGCAATCCAGGAGGGAGCAAGTTTGAATGATGGTTGGACAGAAGGAAAACCATAGATTTGCGGTTTGCCGGATGGCGCAAAGTGAATCCTGCAGTATTGTAGTAACTATAGTACCGCAGAAATATTTGTACGGGAAGCTTCTGCATCACCATGATTTCTTGGAAAGTAAGTTAAAGCAAAGAGGTATCTAGGATAATTGATTTGTATATAAGGAATTGTTGTTTGAAGGCTTGTGAAGAACCTTAAATCACGTACTTTTTCCTCTTGCAAATTACCTTCTTTCTTCTCTGTACTCTCTTCTCTTCATAGACATTTTCTTCTACTACTTATAAAATTAGATTGAAAGGAGACTAGGAGTCTAGAAGTGGAGATTAAGGATTGCATTGCTAAGGGGATAAAATGTCTTTTTAAGGAGACGATCAGACGAGACCTTTGGGTGTTATTTATATCTAAGGATTCCTTTTAATAGTCCAACTTTTGATCTATTGAGGCTTTGTACAGGTAGGTTTTTACTTTGTATATTTTAGTTAGGCTATCAATGCTTGGATGATACAGTCCTTACATAGATAGCACAAGGTCAAGATTGATTTGTGTTTCTTACCATTAATCCTTATATTTTACTCCTCCAGAACCCATAAATGAGATTTTGAATACCTCCAGAGCTCTCTTTTTTGACTGCTCAATTTCCTCTTTGCTTGACACTGTACTACATGAAATGCTTAGGCATAGGAAACCAATGGAGAAAAGAGGATTTTTTTGGGGCTTCTTGTACATAATGACGAATAAAAACTAAGGAAGAAAGAAAAATGCCAAGGAAGCAATTTGTGGCTGTTGTATGGAGGTATTTATGAATGACTTTTGCTTGAAATAATGGAACTTAGGATTCATTTGAGAGAGCTTCATCTTTTATAAAAGCTCCTTTAAAAGCTGCTTCAATATAAAACATTGATATTAAGTTCTGGTTATTAAAAGTGATAACCCATTTGAGAAGAAAGTTCTGTTCATTATTACTCTTAGTTTTTCAAACACAAAAGACTAAAATATCCCTCATCTCATAGCCTTGCTTCTCTACATCTCCATGCGCTCAGAGATGCACGAGCTATTGGCGTCACATCCTATTTCACCTTAAGCCGCCATGGTCTCCATTATCTCCTATTCCCCTTTCAACGATTTCAACTTGGCTTCCATTAGAGTTTGAATCAAGTTCTTGAGACAAACCTCCACAGTTCTCGTGACTTCTGTGACCTTCTTCTGCAGAAGATTCTCAGCCACATCTGCCAACATTATATTTCTCCCCTCCATCAACGTCCGTATTTCTTTAAACAGAACATGCACTTTGATCCCTATATAGTCTCTAGCCAAAACCTTAAACCTTTCAAATTCACAGTTGGAAAGCCCAATGCGGCGATCCATTCTCCCCCTCCTTATCAGCGTAGGATCTAGGTTCTCCACAAAATTGTTGAGAACTACCACCCTCTCTCCGCCCCATGCCGACCATTGGTCGTTGATGAAATTGAGAAGCCCTGAAAAAATAATCTTATTCTCCATGGTGTCTCCTCTATTCCAATCTTCTTATCTCCTTCCTCTTGCCAGATAGTTCGAGGGTGCAATCCAAGTTCTCAATGATGATAATCACTTCACGCTTATCTCAAGTAACCACTTTCGTAAAGCAGAGTTGTTCTGGACCACGGTGCGCTCGAGGTCTTAGGCGTTGTAGTCGCGCAGATTAGCCATGGTTTCGATATTCGTCGACTTTGGGTTGGCCGTAGAGGAGATATATTCTTTTCCATAGCTTGCCGATACGGGAATAAAACTCTTTTCCGTGGCTGAACGCGATCAGATCATCTATGATCTCATGTTTGTTCTTTGGATCCATGACAAAGGTTTTGAAAGTTGCAGGGTGCTCAAAATGATCATGACTCCACCCCTGCTTTTGATAATCAATAGCTTTCAGGACTGCTACTATTTGTTGTATAAAGCCGTTGCACATGATTTTTGAAGATGATGGCTATTTTGGACACTTTCACTTGCGAAACAGTAGAACGGAGGGAACTGGGGGCCGAAGCTGTGAAGATATCGCAATATGAAACGAGGAGAAAATGACATTCCGTTCGATGAACTTCCGGCGACGCTGCTGTACAAGACAGTGACCATGCGTTTTTCAGCGTTCTTCTGTCCGGAATGACGCTGTACCACAGCGTCAAAGAAGGCCTTAAGGTATTGGATCCTTTAGCTTTTATTAGTAAAAGGTGGGCCCACTAGTCCGATGGGAGGTGCCAAACACAAAGGACATTATTTCTATTCTCAAACGAGCAAGAAGGGGAAGGTAGAACTTATTGATAGGCGAAGCTACCCAAGCTAATATGCGTTGCAAGATATTCAAGAAACATATTTCTTCATAAATAAGCAACACTTTCAGGTAATTCCATACATATAGAAGTGATTTTACTAAATAATACCATAGAATAAACTTTCATTTCAGAAAGGTGATCACTAGAATATCTTATGAATTGTCTTTTTATATTTTTTTGAGAGATTGATATATAATTATGCTTATTGAGGGAATTACCTCAAGTCTTTTGACAGGATATTGTCTAAAAGTAATTTCATGAAGATTATTTAAACTTTATCAAGAATCCTCCTGTCTTATTAGACTTAATTGACTTCCATCCATTTGAAAAACTCCCATGTATTTTTCTTTGATTTTTTTTTTTAAATAGATGTTAAATTCTTTTTAAAATTATAAAAGACAAATGGGTAAGCCTCTCTTTAGTTTGTTTCCATAACTATGTCTTCTGACTTGGTATGTTATGATCCTCACAAAATTTTTGCTAATACTATGATCCTCACAACATTTATCTTCTCAATTGTGGTTATTGAATCCTTCATCTCATAATCAACAATTTGAATTTGAAATATTTGTTTTCTCATGCATGGGTTGATTCATTTTCATTACAAGGTAGTCTGACACTTTTAAAGGTGGGAAATTAAATCAACCATAAGAAATAAGAACCTTATGCCATATCATTATGCCCTTGCTCCGTTCAGCTTTATTGATCAAGGTTGGCAACTGGATATCTAATTATGTTTTCTCCTTCACTTCATCGCTTCTTAAGTTTCAAATGCCTACACCCGATAACCTACAAGGTAACTAAATCATTATTAGCATTTTATTGATGGATTATCTCTTTATTTGTTTTAGATTAGAGAACAGAATATTTGATCAACAATCTCATATTAAGGTTCTCTGTTTGGTGTTTTGATTGTTTTGATAGTAATTTATTATAATATTCTTACACTTGTATGCTGGAACTGGTCATAATTAACACAAATGTACATTCCTCCCCTAGTATAATTTTCTGAAAAAAATGTATTCAATTGACTCACAAAAACTTGCATGAACCATGTAGAAGGTCTTTCTGGAAGAGTTTTCTCATCTGGATAGAGAACATTCAAGTTCATTATCAGGAGCGATTGAAGCGCTAGAGGCTAGCACTCTGCGCCTTCCTGTTGTCAGTGGAGCAAGGGTGAGCATCTCTATAATTTATGTCCAATATAAAATGTCTAGGTAATCTGGTATGGCAAAAAAATCAACAACTATATATTATGATTGTTTTCTTCTTTTCAGGCAGATTTCCAAGATGTGAAAGATGCTGTTGGGTCAGCAGTAGATGTCATGCACGCTATAGGAGCGTCAGTATACACGATTTTGTCAAAGGTCATTGCTCAACTTATATTGCCTTTTTTTTCTCTTTACAATTTTCTTGCTTTAATTTCTTCTCTTCAAGCTTCTCACTTAATTTTGAAAAATGACAATATGCCTAGTTTTTAGCAAATTTTATAGTATCTCTAATCTACGGTGCATTTTGAATCCATCTTGTATGACAATTTGTTTTTAAAATTAGGCAAAATGGATTCAAAATGCACCGTAGGTTAGAGATACTATAAAATTTGTTAATCCTATAAGCATGATGTAAATGAGTTGAGTTGAGTTCAAGTAACACTTCGTTGAGCTTGGTTAATTAATCGAGCTCGAGCTCGAGCTTAATTCTACGAGTTCAAGCCAGCTCACAGACTTGTTTATTATAGAAGGGAAAAATACTACTAATTCAAGTTATTGTTATGATAAAATGACGAATAAAATGAGCATTTAGGAGATAAATAATGGAAAATAAGTTGATATAAAATATAAAATAATATTTTAAAGCATTTTTAATAATTTATTGATGAAGTCTTTATATTTAATATATTTTGAATATATTTTATATGATATTTTTTTTGAATGAGCCGGCTCATGAGCTAACGAGCCGAGTCTTGGGTTGACTTGAGCTTGGCTTGTTAGCTCATGAGCCACTTATTGAGCTAGCTCATGAATTGGCTTGGCTTAGTTACACCTGTATTACAAATACATGTCTGACTTAAGGATGATAATATTGCAATGAACTTGCACTCTCTAACTTGATCAAGATAATTGTCACAGACGAGTTCATCAAAATATTGCTACTGGATTTTTGCAAATTTAGCCGTTTCTTTACCCATGTTCAACTGATTAAACTTAAAAGGCATGCTGCTGAAACTTCTATAATTTATGTGAAATGTGCTAGGAAACTTCTTAATCTTGAGTTAGCAACTAACTACTAGACCTAGACATGAGCTCGGCGACCACCCTAATAGACCCAACCAAAACATTAATTGTCATTGGATAACATTTTTGACTTAATTCTTGAACTTGAAACAACTGATTACATTTTTGCGTAATGCTTGGGTATAACTTCTCCATTTGCCCCCTATTTAAAAATTTTGTGTGCTGTCAGTTAACCCAAATAGATTAACATCATGCTTATAGGTCCTAATGCTTGACTTGATTATTAGGCTGAACCATCCTTGGCAACGGTTCGTTCTACTTGCAACCTTGCAAATTTGATGTCACATATGTACCATCATATGCCATTACAGTTCATGCAACTTTTAGCTGTTTTGGCTGGATTTTGAAAACCCTACTTGATTGAGTATAATTTTTTTCAATTGATGTTATTTCCTAGGGTCACGGACAAGCTTCTCTCAAGTCACCAGTGCGGCCTTGGCACTCTTTCAAGTTACTGTGGTGGAAATTTCTAGAGTCTCTTTGGTTGATCTTCTTCTTTCTGGTCTTCTTTGGAATTTTATTTTCCATGGTTGAAGCGATATGGCTAAACCATCTTAAGAGAAGTTTGTCTATGATAGTTCTCTGAAGTCACACGTGCGGCCCTGACACTCTTCTAAGTACTAAGTCAGCCTAACCCTCACAACGTGTGGATTGGAAACACAACAGAGGAGAAGCTGTTGAAAGAAAAATGAACACTTCACTAAGGAATGAAAGTTTTACACACTTGGTTAATTGGAGACCTTTCGTTGGTTCCAAATGAGGGAAAGGGACCCTATTTTTAGTCCTTTCTCAAGGCCTAGATCTTTCTAAATTACTCTAGAATATTTTAGTTTCTAGATGGTTCTATACTATTCCCTACATAAACATGATTCTAGAGCTTTTTATGACTAATCTAGAGTTTGTCTACAAGCTTTCGCCTTCCAACATTCTCTGGGATGTATTGGAACCTTCTGAAGTCTCTTAGGTTGATATTTTTCCTTTTTGATCTTCTCTAGAAATTCTTTTCCATAGTTGAAAGGATATGGCTGAACCCTCTCGAATTGGCAGTGTGTGACGCTAAGCTCCTAAAAACAAAGCTGAGCTGTCAACTTGATTGAAAGTACTAAAATGATGAATTTAAAAATTGGGATGGACCAGATCGACATGGCTATAGTAGAGCTGCTTTGTTCGCTCATAGTGTGTGCTTGTGGCTGCATGTGTGGTTTGAAAGTGGCGAAGACATAAGAGGCATCCACCTTTTGACCAAACCTACTGACAACTACTGATGAGGAGCTTACTTGAATGTGTACTCTCATTTGGTCAAAATAATTCATGGCTGATGTCCCCGAATTATTGTGGCCGCTTAGCTCCATGTTGTTGCGAGTCTTTCATGGCTAATTGGCCTTCTTTTCATGGCAAGTTCATTTTTTTCATCAATTCAGGACTGTTCGTGGCTTGTTTTGTGGTGGCTACTTTTAGCGAATTTTTTTTTTAATCAGTTAGGAATATATATTAAAGATAGTCATAATATATTCTCCAATTAACATACCATGAATTTTTTAATCTTTTAGGAATAATGGAAGATTACATGCTTTGAAATTCAGCTCCCCCTGCATTTCATCTTTTTAATTAAACAACCTTTGATAAATAAAGTCAAATTCTTCTTCGAACTTTACCATCTCGATAAGGGATTCACATCTAAATCCTCATTTGGTTGGACTCATGCTATCATAAAAATCGGTTTAAAAATAACCTTAGAAAAACAGTTTTTTTTTTTTTTTAAACAACAAGAAATAACAATCTTAAATGGAGTATAAAATTTGGTAAACAACAATTATAGAGAACTACAAAAGTCAAACTAATTATTGAATATCTTAACAACTTTCCATAAAACAGAAATCACTTGATAATCTTATCCAGACGAGGCCTAAATGTCAGCACTGCATTAAACTGCTACAGGTGGAAGGAAGAAGCTCCTTGGCATTAGAACTCTCTAAAATTGCCTCTCAAGAACAAGCTCTATTGGATCAATCCAGGGATCTCCTATCAACATTAGCAGCATTACATGTAAGTTTGCAGAAACCCCTCATGTTCTATTTCTTCGAATTCTGAATTCACAATGCAAGCAAAACCTGAAACAGGTAAAGCAATGTAGCCTGCAAGGTCATCTTCTCCAACTAAAACGCAGAACCAATTAGATACAAACTGTAGAGAGCTGACTTCTTTCACAACGTTAATGACAACTAACACCATTTCAACGTTTTTTCTAACTGAAGATTGGATCGAAAGCTTGATGGTAGTTTTGTTGGGTGCAGTGTGGTTATAACCTGATTCTGCCTGATAATCTCATGCGCCCCTCGCTGATTCTTGTTCTTTTTTTTTTTTTCTCTGCCATATAAATGGCCCCTTTTGTGCTTCAGTAGCTATGTACTGATCAATGCAAAGCTAGTGTACATATTTGAATTGTTTCTTTCTCAGTAATTGTATTTGCCTTCTGTCAAAAAAAAAAAAAAAAAGAAAAGAAAAGAAAGGATGCCTACCAAAAAAACAAAAAAAAAAAAGAAAAGAAAAGAAAGGATGACGTGATTCTATTAGTGATATATTTTTTTTTTAATGAAAGCGATACTTTAGTGAGGTTCTGCTTTGCATTTATTTATTTTTTATTTAGTTCATAGCGCATTTTTGCCAGATTTTTTTTTGTTTTGAAAAACATTGGGTCAACATATCCTTAGTACTGCTCAAAAACAAGCTCTGTTAAATATACAAATGCATGAACATTGAGTGATGTTTGTAGCTCTCCTTAAATTTATTTTGATGAAACTGGTAGATTGATGTTGCAATTAATGCTATATATATATATATATATATATATTGTTTGTTGTTTTGAAATTGATCTCATAATTTTTTTAGATTCATTGCTGACATTATTTTTTCATGATTTCACGGAAGTATAATTTTAATTTTATTTTTTGATGTGCTGTATGGTATATAGACCGTAAAGTTTGAGGTTTTGCTTTGATGCCACTTCCGCTGGGTTTCATAATCTAGAGGTTATTTGATGTGATAATTTTTTTAGATTCATTCCTGACATTATTTTTTGAAGATTTCACGGAAGTATAATTTTATTTTTATTTTTTGATGTGCAGTATGGTATATAGACCATAAAGTTTAGAGTTTTGCTCTGATGCCACTTTCGCTGGGTTTCATAATCTAGAGGTTATTTGATGTGATATTTGAACCACTTGGCTCCAGCGAGAACTCGTGTACCGTAAGCAGTAAAAACCGAGTTCTGAAATCCATAAAATTGTTGAAATTGAACCTTTCATGAAATTATAAACAAAAATTTAAAAATTTTGCGTGTAATTTATGGAGATGTTTGGAGTAAAATGTAGACGTCTACAATGTGTTTCACACCAATTGTTTTTCCTTATTCTTGGAAAAGATGGGATAGAATGAATTAGACTCAACGGGTGATTATAGCAAATGAAAAAGTCTCTTTATTGAAATATGGGAGGAGTGAATGGCCTGAAGTCCAAAGATAAATTAAGGTGCTTAAGGTAATCCTCTTTCCTAGAGAATATATTTAATTGTTATAATTAGGCAACTACAAATAAAATGGGATGCTCCTGCCGAATGAAGGGTTTGGCGGTTAAAAGAGTAAACAATCTATATTTAATAATATGAGGAGAATTAAGAAATACTAGAATCACTAATTATAAGTGATCAAAACAATACTTCTCCTAAAAAATAATGATCATCAGTTCTGTAGCAGTTTATCAATTCTCTCTTTTGAAGGCTTTTAAATTTTAACAATCACATTTGACCTCTTAGCGCTCGTTGTTGATCAACCAACAAAAAAAATTCTCTTTTTATGATGCCCATTAAGATAGCTGTTATACATTGAATGAAGAAAGAAAAATAAGTGATCCTCCTCAACATCATGCAATCACCTCCTTATGCATTGCTTGAGGAATCATGGCTATGTATGAAACTTGTACAAGCTAGTTGAATGAAATGGAACGGCATGTAACATATTTGTATAGAATAGATAGAGAGTATAGATATGTATAAAAAAAACTAATGAAATAAATTCATGAAGTTGGTTTTGGCTTTGAAAGCCAAATAAGTGAGAAAATTATCTCCACATCTCAACACTTCTATCATGCCATATGCTTAGAAATAGTTTAATGTTTTTCCAGTAATTTCTGATTTCTAACCTTGTATATGAACAATTCTAATCAAGTCTATAACTTTGTCCATTACAACTTCATGCCGGAAGATCATTATTTGTTTGAAATGCCATAAATGTGTTTAATTGAGCAATTCAACTCATTTGTTGTTTTGCAGTTCTATTTATTTCTTTATCCATTTTTCTCTTATGTTGGTTCTACATGTGAGCTTTGCATGGATTGTTTGTTTTCTTTCGTGGACTTCAACATTTCAAAAGTTACTTCCTTTTTCATTAATTTAGGGGATAATTGAAATTTTATTTATTCTTCAATTTAAATTTATTATATATTTATTTTAGTATAAAATTGCTTATATTTAATATCTTAAAAATAAGTTGATTTTTTTATTTATGTAGTAGTGGAAGAAGTCACCAATGAGGCAACATAATCATGGTGGCGGCTAGGGGTTTTAGTCAAGTCAGCTTGTGAGTCGGTTCGAGCTCGGCTCGATAAGTGGCTTGTGAACCGAGCTTGATGAGCTAGAAAGCTAAGCTCAAGCTAGCCCCGATTTCACTCGTTAGCTCATGAGCGAGCTCGTTTAAAAAATAATTGATGTAAAATATACTCAAAATATATTGAATTTCAAGTTTTTTATCTTTAAATTACTAAAAAGGTGTAAGAAATGGTAATTTATATTTTGTATGATCAACCTCAAGCTGAGGATGCTCGAGCTAAACTCGACTTGTTTAATCCCTAGTGGGGACCAATTGTGATATTTATTTTTTAAAATATTTAAAACATCACAAAGTGGTATTTGAGGTTTTTCAAAGCAACTTAATTAAAAAAATATATAAAAAAATACGTAAAAAAAACGAAATGAGAAAATATGTTTTTGAAGAAATAAATATAAAAATATAAAAATGAAATCTTACCAGCCTCCGCTAGTGTTCCGTATGTGGGAGCGCCTCACCAACATGCTTGGAGGGCCTCATGTCTCCACAGCTCGATCACCACTTCTACTTAGTTTCCTACCTCTTCTTCTGGCAGTCTGTGGATTCCCAAACCTTAAGCAACAAAACAAAGACATCCTCTCCAAGCCTCAAAGACACTGTCACAATTTCCAAATATAGCCAAACATGTACTGGAGGCAATATTAGAAAACTAGACTTCACAAAGGAGGAAAATTAGATTTTGAAGTGAATTTCTGAAATTCCATCTTGGAATTGACAAATTAGATTTTGTAGTGAATTTTCATTCTAACAATGAAAATTAGATTTCACAAATGAGGAAACAGTAAATACTCCTTACATCATATGAAATATCTTTTTTTAAGAAAATATTTTCATGTGTGCAATCAATCGTGTAAGGAGCTGTGGGGATGAGAATGATTAGTTCTATGGTTGGCTTTATAGCTGGAAAAAAAAAAATACAAAACAAATATGCTCATAATAGGATCAGAGTAGCTACAGTTGAAGAAAATATTAGAAAGAGACATCAGAAAGCCTAAATAAATATTACGAATTATTTTTTCTTAATATGAAACAACAATTATCACTCGAAAATTAACTGATTTTAACTTTGACACGGATTTCTTTAGAATCGACAACTGTTAAACTCGAAGTCAAAACGTTAACAACCTACTAAATTTGTTTGGGCAGTCAAAGATCGACAATCGGTGAACATTTATCCATATTTTATCTCTAATCTTGTTTGTCGTCATAATTATACCAACTCTTTCACGATTATATTTCTTTCATTTTTTCTTTACAAATGTTAAGCTAATGATTCACCAAAATATTCGCATCTCAACAACGACTTTTACTAGATTACTTTCAGGCCTCTAAACAAATTTTGAGAAAAAGTTTTCAATATGATGTAAAAGTTTTCATTTCTTCCGCCAATGGGAAATCAAAGTTTCATTGTCAAAATGAAAATTGAATTTCTCGTTTGAGTAAGAAATGGAAACTTTTACACCATATGAAATACTTCATTCTCAGAATCTGTTTAAGGGTATGCAAGTAATCTAGTTAAAAGTTGCAGATACGAGGATCCTTGTGTTTGTGATTGGCTTTTCAATTGGAGACACAATATGAAACAAATATATCTGTGAGAGGGTTGGTGTAGCTACAACGAAATACACAATTAGAGAGAGATGCATTAAGGAATTACGAGTAAATGCTCGATAGTTTAATGTTCTTTAACACGACTAACATTACTAAGATGTTAAACGATCTGACTTCTAGTCGAGATCATGTACATTCTAAATAAATTCGATCAAAAAATTTAGCTTGTACCTCGGCGTGTTTATTTCAATATGAGTTTCATGTGCGAGTCAAACTTAAAATCAATTTCAAGCCATTATAATTTTTCAAACTAAATCATATTCCAGATTTGGCTCGTACCTCAAGATTTGCAGAATTTATTGAAACTCATTCTACCTAAATCCTGCTTTCAACCGAATAGTCCTTTAATCTAAAGGCCAACATTGTGCGTCATAAAGCATTGTAGGTCTCACCATCATCTTATAAAATTTTCCTTTAAGTCTAAGCATAATTTTCCATCACATAATAGATTGGATGCATCCCTCCACTTCAACCAACCAACTTGAAATCTACTAATCAAATCCCTATCTATATCAATCTCTATCTATATCACCTAAACTTTGAACGAGAGAGCCAAGATATCTAAAAAGTTCACAAATTTTAATGATTTGATCACCCGTAGTTTTAACTCTGCTACTGGAGCTATTACTACTAAAATTACATTTCATGTATTTAGTTCCATATCTACTCAAAGGAAGGCCTTTAGACTCCAATGTCAACCTCCAAAATTTAAGTTTTGGGGCGATTACGTACATGACACCCAAAACATTGCTATTTACAAGTCAAGCACCCTCTTTCATCCATTTTCAAATTCACTCAAATATAAAAATTCATGATAAAACCACAACCCATATTTTTCATTTTTATGAAATTCACAATGGTTTGATCGTGCCACACGTAAATGCATCAGTTTTTCTAAATACTTTCCCTAGTCTTATCCACATGAAATATATCACAGATGAAAAGCATTCATCATTGTAAATCTTCCTATAAATGTGTAGTAAGAGCATCCATAACTAAAGCAATACTATATGGGCTTAAAGTTGATCTCTAATGTAATCCAACAAAAATAGGAAAATATTTGGTCCTAGTTGTTAAACCCTAAACCCTAAACACATTTTTCAAAAATATTTGAAATAAAAAATAAAAATGAAGGTAAATGAAAAGGAGTTACCTTCCTCGATAGTTCCGGGAATGAGAGAAGCGAAAAGAGGAA